TTACTTTACTGACTAGGACCTTGAAGGGGGTGTTAAATAGAAGTGGTAAAAATAATTGTCCTTGCTTTAGAGGAAAAATAGTCTTTTCACCATTAAGTATGGTGTTAGCTGTGGGTGTTTTGTAGATACACATTGTCAGATTAAGAACATTTATTGAGAGTTTGGTTTGTTTTTTAAGATTTTATTGGGGTATTAGGGGAGGGGAACAGTGTTGGGGAATTGGGGAAGGGGACCAGCCAAGTTGTTGTTCTTCAATCTTCGTTGTGGAGGGCACCAGTCGCCATCTGGCCACCATTGGCAGCTCGTGGCCTCTAAACTCAAGGTGCTGTGTTCAATCTTAGTTGCGGGTGGGCATAGCCACCATTCCATGCAGGAGTCGAACCAGCAGCCTTGTTGTTAAGAGCGCATGTTCTATCCATTGAGCCATCCGAGCAGCAGCTCAGCTCAAGATGCCGAGTTCAGTCTTAGTTACGGGTGGGTGTAGCCCACCATCAAACAAGCAATCTTGTTGTTACACCAGCTGAGCCATCCTGCCACCTTTTGGCAGCTCAGCAACAGCTCAGCTCGGGCACAGCGTCACTGGCCCATGTGGGAATCGAACCGGCGGCCCTGTTGCTCAGAGCTCGTGCTCTTAAGCCAACTCTTAACCAACAGCCACTCAGCCAGCCTGAGAGATTTTTTTTTTAATTTTTTTATGAATGGGTATTGAATTTTGTCAAATGCCATTTTTGCATCTAATGAAAAAATTTAGCTGCATCCAATAAATTTAGTTATTTGTGTTTTCATTTTCATTTAACTCACAATCTTTTCAAATTTTCCTTGTGAGTTTCTCCTTGACCAATTTAGAAATGTATTGTTTAATTTCCCAATGTGTGTGAATTTTCCAGATACCTTTCTGTTATTAGTTTCTGGTTTAATTCTGTTATTGTCAGAAAACATATTTTTCATGATTTAAATTCTTTTAAATTTAAGGTTCTTTAGAACCAGAAAATGGTCTTTCTTGGTGAATGTTCATGTGCACTTGAAAAGAATGAATATTTTATTGTTTTGAGGTGAAATGTTTTATTAATGTCAAGTAAGTCAAGTTACTTGATAGTGCAGTTCTACATCCTTATTAATTTTCTATCTTCTTGCTCTGGAAGTGTTGTGGATTTGTGTATTTCTCCTTTCAGTTCTATCAGGTTTTGCTTCAAATATTTGGAACACCATTACTAGATGCATATACATTTAGAATTGTTTTGTCTTCTTGGTAAGTTGACACTTATTTGCTATACTATGTCCCTCTTTATCCCTGGTAACATTCCTTGTTCTAAACTCTACTTTGTCTGATAGTAATATAACCACTGTAACTTTCTTCTATATTATTGTTTGCACAGTTGTCTTTTCCATTGTTTTACCGGTACTTTTAACTTATCTTTGTCTTTTTATTTAAAGTGGGTTTCTTTTAGACAGCCTATAGCTAGATCTTTTTTTTGCTGCTTTTTTAAATTCAGTCTGACAATCTCTGTCTTTAATTCTTATGTTTAGACCATTTACATTTAGTATACCATGGGTGCCAAAAAAATGTATACACATGACTTGTATTCATCTTTTGTTATTGGTATATATTGAGTATTACAATTTTAATACAGCTTTTTATTTTCTTAAAATGTGCGTGTGTGTGTATTATTTTTTTGGCACCCTCTGTAGTTATTGATATCATTGGATTTAGGTCTATCATTTTTATTTTTTGTTTGTCCTCTCTGTTTTTCATTCTTTGGTTCCAACTCTCCTGCCTTCTTCTGAAATATTTTAAAGTATGCTATTTTAATTTATCTATTTTTTGGCTCTATTTTAGCTGTTGCTCTAGGTGTCACAATATACATACATAACCTTTCACAGACACCTTACAAAGAAATGGGTCTCTATCTTTCTCCACTAACCTTTACATTATAGTTGTCATATGTGTTTCATCTATATACATTGATAATCCTATCAATTTATATATTTTTTTCTTTCAGCAATCATACATGTTTTAAAGAACTTAAAAGGACAAAGGTAGCCTTTTATAGTTTCCGAAATAATTGCCATTTTGTTACTCTTAATTTCTAAAGATAAGTGTTTGTCTATGTCATCATTTCCTTTCAATCTAAAGAATTTCTTTGAGGTTTTTGTTTGTTTGTTTGTTTGTTTTTAAGCAGGTCTGCTGCTGACAAATTCTCTTATTTCCCTTCATCTGAGAATCTCTTTATTTTATATCATTTTCACTAAATACAGAGTTCTGGGTTGACAATTCTTTCAACACTTTAAAGATGCTGTTCCACTCTTTCCTGACATCCATGGTTTCTGTTCAGAAAGTTGCATCAAATCATCATTCTTTGTATGAAAGAACATTAAAAAATGTGTCATTTTCTCTAGCTGCTTTCAAGATTTTAAAATTTATCTTTGGTTTTCAGAAGTTTGGTATCTCTATGTGATTTTCTTTGAGTTTAACCTGCTTGGGGTTTGCTTAGCTTCTTGAATGTGTACGTTTATGCCTTTCATGCAAATATTTTTTTTCTGCACCAGTATATCTCCTCTTCTCTGAGAGTCCAATGACATGAATTTTAGACCCTATTATATTATTTCATAGGTCCCTGAAACTCTCAATTTTTTTCAATCTTTTTTCCTCTGTTTTTCAGATTGAATAATGTATACTGATCTAGCTTCAAGTTCATTGACTCCTTCCTTTGTCACCTCCATTCTGCTATTGAGCCTACTCAGTGAATTTTAAATTTCAGATATTTTTTCAGTCATAAAAATTCCATATGGCTCATTGTCTAGTTTTGGTATCTCTGCTGAGAACAACTATCTTTCTACAAATTTCAAGTTATAGTAGCTATTTCAAAATATTTTCTAGGGCTAGCTGAGTGGCTCAGTTGGTTAAGGGCTTGCTCAAGAGTGTGAGCTCTGAGCAACAGCAGTTTGATTCCCTGCCCGAGCTGAGCGGCTGCTGCTGAGCTGCCAACAGGTGGCCAGGATGGCTCAGCTAAAAAAAATAATAATAATTAAAAAAATAATAATAATAAAAAATTTTCTAATAATGCCAAAATCTAAGTCATTTTGGAATTGGCATATGTTGATTGTATTTTCCCTTGATAATTGGTCATATTTTTCTGGTTCTTTGTATTTTGAGTAATTTCAGATCGTATCCTGGACATTGTGAATGTTATATTGTATAAACATGGTCCTTTTATAATCCTTTATAAGATTTGATTTTGTTGTTGTTTTAGGAGGCAATCAACTAATTGAGGTTCAGACCCTAAGTTCTGTCTCATCTTCCATTGTTGGTGGTTTTAATCTCAGCACAAACCCACAAGAGAAAAGTGGAAACAAAAATTTACCTCATGCAGATTACTTCTCAAAAAACTTTTTTTTTAAAGATTTTTTTATTGGGGAATTGGGGGGATGGGAACAGTGCTGGAGAATTGGGGGAAGGGGAACAGACAAGTTGCTGTCGTTTTGTTCTTCAATCTAGTTGTGGAGGACGTTGCTTCACTGGTCCAAGTTGGCACCATCATTGCGCTCTTCCCGGGCGAGGCAGATCAGTCGCCAGCTTCTGGACGGCCACTCACAGCGGCTGCTGGCCACACATGGCAACCCACTGCCACAGGGGCTGCAGCCTACGCCGTTGCCGGCGACTCCCGGCAGCCCAGCTCCAGGTCGAGCTGCTGTTCAGCATCTTAGCTGTAGAGGGCAGTGTCACTGGCCCTCATATGTAGGATCCGAACCGGGGCCCTCTGGCGTCCCAAGCCAGTTCTTAACCATCGCGCCACTCTGCCGGCCCGCTTCTCAAAATTTTGACTTCCGCACCATTCATCTGCTTTTGTTTAATTTTCAGTCATTAGGTAATTGCGTTTTGTATGTAATCCGGTAGGAGAGATAAGCTCTAGTGGACTTATTCTGTCTTGGCCGGAATTTGAAACTCCCACCCAATTTTGATTTGCTGGAGTTTTAAAAAGCTAAAGAAATGAAGTCCCAAAGCACCATGAAGACAGTGACAGCAAGAAAAAAGCTCAAAACTAAGAGGCAACAACAAATACCTCTGTCATGTTTAGAGTCCTGGTTAGATGTCAGAGCACTCCTAAATTGTGGTATCCAGGCCAATGTGATTATTCTATTTTTTCGATGATTAAAGAAGGTTAAAGAAGAGCTGGTGATTTGACTGTTTGTTCTCTAATCTAATCCCCTGACCTCCTGCTCTGCATTTCAGTGCTCCAACCATACATTTCCCAAGATATCTTGAAAATTAGCTTTTAATTAGATTTGCCAATAGGAGACAAAGGCATGAAATTGGAGGGTGGGAGGAGAGGAGAAACCAGAGTATTTCTCCCACTCTCTCTGCTTTGGGCAGCATTCCCAGCAATAGCTGTGTTTCTTCTGTGATTTCGATTCCTTAGATACTGTCTGTCTCCCTCAATGTTCCTGCTGGGCTGCCCCGGTTCCTCAGCTCCATACCACTATCTCTTCCCTCTGTCCTTCCACCCTACAGGTGGTCGTGGTTTCCTGTTGTACCTGACCTCTGGGTTTCCTCACATTCCATTTGCCCTTTTAACTCTTGCAACATTTTTATAACCAGTTTCTTCTGTTAAATTCCTGCTGCTGAAGTACCGACATAGGCCCTGTTTACCTGGACTCCGACTGATCCAGTCCATGTGGGAGGGCAGAATGAAAACTCTAGCTCAAGTCTCCTGATTCAAATGTCAGTGTCTCCCCACTGCCCTCCTCTGGCTGGCAGGGAGCACCAGAGGGAACAAGCCACCTTCTGGCCCACCAGGAGGGCAGTGCTTTGATCTTAGTTGCACGTTATTTTACAGGGATGTAAAAAAAAATATTGTGTCTCATATATAATCAACTTTCTGGGAAAGTCATCTTATATTCACTGGCATCTTCTTTTTGTGTTAATACAGTACATTACCATTTGGAACTTTGCATCTTCCTCACCTATCTCCTCACTCCACCCATGTGTTCTTTTGGGACAGGCACAGGATAAGTCATGGAAAGCTGAAGTGACTTCGGGGAGACCCAGCAGAGCAGGAGAGGAGAACTGAACAAAAACTGGGGCTGGACTCCAGCTGAGGTGGTCATGCCAAAGAGAATGTGGAATGGCTTCACCCAAGGAGCAAACTGGGGTCATGGGCTCCAGCGGTGTCTGAGAGGGATCAGAGTTTTGGCAACTTCTCCCAAGGCCATAAGGCTGATCAATGGCAGAGGGGTGAGGAGAAGACTTCTTGGCAGTTTCTAAAAGGGGGTGCAGGAACCAGGTTGGAGTTGGAGCCACAGACAAGGGAAGAAAGCACCTGACTGAGCCACCAGTCAGGGACACCGGTTTCTGGTCTATGTCCTACCAGGGTCTTGTGAGACAGAAATAAAAGCACAGCAGGCATCTGTCACAAAGGATCTTTAATGGTCTCCTATTGATGCTTCTTTTGTTCATTTGTCCTGTTAGAGTTGAATAAACTGTAATAACTTATCTGACATAATAAGGAATGCAACCAGTACAACAAATAAACCTGGCAGGTGGCCCAAGAATGAGGGTGTCACAAAATAATCACTGAACAGAAGAGTCCACAGATCTGGAGACACAGTTCCAGCCACCTGTCACTCCCCGTTCCCAGGGCCCACACACAGTCACTGTGTCAGGCTGAGAGCTGGCTCCCATGGAGTAGGAAGAGGGAACCCCCCGTGACAGTGTCTGTGGCCAGACCTTAACACTGAGCAGAGATGTAAATAAGACAGTGCAACCTGTACTCATTCCCAAGTGCTCTGATCTGCAGTGCAGGCCATGACCGCAGTCCGAGTTTGTGAGGCTCCCACCTCTCTTACGACACCACCTCTCATACCCACCCCCTCCTAGGACCCTTGCAGTAATCCCTGCGCAGTGGGCAGAGTCTGGTACTAGCCCCATCTTACACATGGAGAAACTGAGGTCAGTGGGTTCCCAAGGGCATACTTGGACTCTTCGTAGAACACCAGTTGGCACTTTCTCCCATGCCACATGGCTTGCTGTGCCCTAAGCCTCACATTATCATCTAGAATGCCCTGCGGAGATGAAGGTGGGGCAGGCAGGATTCTGTGCCAAGGGCAGGCCCAGGTCTCATTAAAGTGCCCACCCCTTAGTCAGCCCCCCCGGTGAGGGGCCTGGGCAGAGGGCAGGCTGGCAGGAAGAGAATTCTGGAGACTGCAGATGGGGGACCAACCTCTTTTGAAGGCATCCTCCTGTGGCCACACACTTGGTTGTCAACAAACGTGGATGTGGAATCCTATTAGAATCGCCGGAGGGCAACTCGCTGCCGAAAAGGTCTATAGACAGATCCTGCTCTCACAGGTGGGACTTTTGTCATGAAGTCCTGCCTCAGTATCTCTTTTATGAAACCCGGACTGCCATCTATCTGGTTGTATATAAAGAAGAATCTGACTCTAGTTTCTCTTCTCCCATCACACTATTCCTTCTGTCATCCAATGGTCCTGGGCCAGGAGAGTTGTGTGTCATACTGGGGTGCAGACACAAGTCCTGGGGTGAGGGCTAAGCCTGTTTCCTTGCTCCACAAACCCCACGCTGCATGGGCCAGTATCAGGGTCAAGGTCCATCCTCACTGAGCACCAGGCCTCTGCCCAAATCAAGCCTAGGTCAGCACTTCAGGGTGGGGGGCTAAAAAATCATCAGATGTGTGTGTGTGTGTAACAAAGATACTTTGCATTGGAATGCTAGGGACATTCCAACATGAAAAGCAAGGGTAGAACCTGTGCTTGCTGGTCTAAGATCAAACCTCAGAATGGTGGTTTGAAGAATTTTTGTCTTCAAAACAAAGTTTGAAGGTAAAACCTTAATAGGCAAGATGGATAAAAGCAGAGTTGTCCTGGTGGAAGTCGGAATGGGGGGCGGGCTGGAGACCTATCCTATGCCTCCACCCCTCTCTTCCCACCTTAGCAGCTCCTGACAAAGCTCTGTGGGATACCAAGGGTTCCACAGCACCTGGTTTGAAAACACTGTGTCACAGTGTCTGCAGATCATGGGTCGCAGGGACCTGTGCTTTGACTTCTCTTTTGGAGTGGAGTTGGGGAAGAGTGACGAGGTGGGTGGATGCTCCTCCTTCAACAGGCCTCTCTTCGAAGCCACTGTGCAGTGACCCTGCAAGAGTGTATCAGAGGTGGTGATCCTGCCCCAACAGGTAGGCCGTTTCAGTCCTGGAGGGAGGACAAAGTGATGGAGCTACCTGGGCCAAGATGACAAAACGCAGACCCAGTGCAGGCTTATACACGAGGGGTGGGGGAGGAGTCTGTTTTGGTCCTTGTCGACTTTAAAAAGTATCAGAACAGGTATAGGTCTATGTCCATGAAACCCTATAGGAGTTCAAGAGTGGAGCCTAATGCCTTCCTCTAGGATGAGTGGAGAATGTCCAGTCCCCAGTCACTGGCAGGACGGAAGCTGCCTTTGTGGGTTAAAGAAACCACTGGGGGACAGGTCAGCTGGGGCTCAACTCTCAGCACAAGAGGCCTGGGTTTTCCCCAAACCCAAATATCTCCCAAGTGTCACTAAGAAGCTCTGGCAGCTCCCGTTGACCCTGAAGGGGGCCTTGTACTTTGAAGGGAGGGGGCAGGCAATTTCTATCCTACCTCACCCTTGGGGTTCTTTGATGGAGCTGGGGGCTCTCCCTAACCTGGCACCAGAGTCAAGGCTTCCTGGCCTCTGTGGGGTCTGAGAGATGGGAAATGTGGGTGACGCCAAGCCTGGGAGGCTGCAAGATGCCCCTCGCCCCAGTCACTGACAATACCCATGTTTTGTCTCTGTCATGGTTGCTGGGACCACTATCTGTGGGCATGGCATTCTTAAATAGTGTCTCAATTGCCTTCTCAGCTCGGTCACCAAAGCCAAATTAGATGCATCTCATTTTGGTTGACACCCACCTAACTGAGAAGCAGGCAAGAGATGAGGCCCATGGAAGGAGGGCTCAGCCCACGAAATTCTGTGTGACCTTGGGGCACTCCCCCGAGGTGGCAGGGCCATGGATTGTGCAGCCATTTGCAGTTTACAGGGCTGACTTTCATCTCAACTGACTTTCACCCATCTGGGCCTCACAGTTCCTTGAGTCAGGTGGGGAAGGGATTACCGTCCCATTTTATAGTCAGGGAAACAAGCCCAAGAAGTTGAGTGACTTGCTCAAAAACATTCAGCTGGTTGGTGACAGCCAGAACTGAGGAGCATTGTGGAGTTACAGGCAGTGTGCTTGTCACTGCACCATATGGGAACCAGCTTGTCAGCAGCTCCCCCAGTTAAACCAACACCCCAAGTGAGCGCACTCTCGCCTGTGTGGGCTCTGAGGCTGAGGAGACACGTGGAGTCCAGCCAAATAACCCAGTCCTTAGCTTCGCAGACACTAAGTTCTCATAGCTGGAATGTTGAGGAGTCCAGCTGGCCCTCTGCCTGGGGATTGTCACTCCAGACCACGCTCTTCCTGCCTAGACTGCTACTTACACGCCACCCTCATGGCCCGCTGGGAAGTCCCAGTGTGGTGCTCATGGTCAGCACAGGCCTCAAATGTGTGCACAGAAAGAGCTGGCACTACGGGCTGGTGCCTGGGCCCCAGTGGGGCTCCCCAACTCCCAGATTCTCTCCAAGGTTTCACATGATTCCAGATGGAGAGGGGCCCTACAGAGAAGGACTCAGTCATATTTGGGGTCTACAGGAGGAGTGGGGTCTGGAGCCAACCAGAAGCTTGGAAAGATGATGTGGGCGTTTCTCTTAGGAAGCGGCCAGAGGAAACACTCTGGCCTGAGAGTTCCCTGGGCAACCGACCGCACATGGCTATGCAGCAGGGGGCGTGGCCCAGGGGCAAGTGGAGCTAAACTCCAGCCTGTGCGCCATTCACAAAGCTGTACATTCTAACATCGGCCGAGTCCACCTGGAAGGGACACCATTTCTAATTCACATCAAGGCACTATATGGATTAGCAGCAGCCATGGAGCTCTGAATGATGGCTCCGTTCCTCCCCACATGGCTTTCCCCAGGCCATGAGCTTCCTGAGGACAGGGGCTAGGACTGACCCATCTCTGTGACTCCAGTTACCAGCCAAAGATGGTTAAGCCAAATTCAAATGAACTTGACCACTGCCCTTCTGCAGTCCTGTGCCCCAAAGAATAAAAGGCTAGATGGGGATATGATGCTTTCTACAGCTGGAGAAATTTCAGGTAAACACTAGGATAAACCCAAAAGTGTGAGATATTAAGGGAGAGGAAGCCCAAGAAACCAGCCTGACAAGTCTTTTGTGTGCACAGGTTAAGGATGGGGGAGCAGGGGCTTGTAGGGGAGTGATCATCCCAAATCCTAAAGGGTCTCATATGAGCCCCAAAGGTTCCAGAGGAAGACACTAGAGACCATATGCTTGTCGTGCATTGTTCCAGCATTTCATCAGCTCTACAGCTGCCTGATGAGGTGCAAACTGCCAAGCAAGCTCTGGTAGGGGTTGGATGCCCGAACACCTGCAGCTAGGACGCCAGGGTGGCCAGGGGAGTGTGACTATCCCGAGCTGACTTGGTTCTGACCTGGGGCAGGGGTCTCTGGGGTTGAGTCTTCATGAGACTCAGAAGGGAAGGGGTAGGGTGTAGTGCCAAGCATGGGAACTGGGTAATCTCACCATGAAAAATGGTTGCCTAGTCCACCCCAGGAGGGGCTGGACTGCAAAGTGTTGAAATTCAACTTGTATAATAAACTTTTGTTATCTTCCTTTTCAGAAAAGTATGGGGTGGGGCTAGAAGGGAGCAGGAATTGAGGAGAGAGTCCCTTGCGCTACAAATCAATATATTTGCTTGTGCTTAAGGTAAACCTGAGGTGTCTGCATCCACAGGGAGCTGGGACCTCCTGGAGGCCCTATCACAAGCCTCCCCCACCCCAAGCCTCAGCAAATACAAGCTCTGTCCTTTTGTAATACTCGGACCCTAGGGGCAAGCAGCTCATGTTAGCTATGACCACATCTTGATATCAGGCAACCCTCCAGGGACCCAAGAAGAGCCCTTTGCAGGCTTGGGGTTGGAAGCAGGAGCTCTCCATAGCCCGGCCACCTCTGAGGTCTGATGAAGCTTTAACATTTACAAATTCTTAGAGGCCAGAGCTGGAGGGCCCTTTGTGATCGTCTGGTCAAACCCCGTGGTTTTCTAGGTGAAGAACTGATGCCGAGAGAGGGAAAGGAACTTGCCCAAGGTCACACAGTAAGTTAGCATCAAAGGCCATACTAGAACGGATACCTTTGAACACTTTCTACCTCATCATCTACCTGTCCTATTGCCCTGGAAACACCCCAGGTCCCAATCACACCAACACCAGCCAATGGCTACTGGGTCCCCATGACACTGGGAATTACTGGGGGTGGTCATCAACTCCCCAAAGAAACAAAGGGTTCCTTGCTGCCTACCAGCTCCCTTCCTTTTAGGTGAGGGCATCCCAATGGACCCTGCCACCTTCTAGGGAAGGACCTCCTCCCCCCCCCCGACTTTGACTATGGATACAGTGGCCTCAGGCACTCTCTCCCAGCCTGCAGCACCAGCCCAGCCCAGCCCTGGAGAACTGCAAGGGGAGGCAGGACACAGGTGGCCCCAGTCTTCTCTGGACCTCTAGCCTTATTTCCTGTGGGATCACCAATTGCTCTTAAGTCCACAAAGGAAGGGAATAGGGCAAATTCTCACCTTCCCACCCCTGCCCCCATCTCTCAGAGCCACCCTTCAGGAAACTTCAGGAACTTTGGCTCACTCTTCAAGGATTGGAATTTTCTGAAGACCCCTCCCTTCTCTCTCTCTGTGCATATTTACAGATAGAACACACACATAAGATATAAGGTAGCTAGTATGTTACATCTGACAATACTGAAATAGACTTGAGCTAGTCCACAGTTTGCCTTAGACTAGGTAACTGCTGGTAAGAAAGTCAGTCCAGTGGCTATTCTCCACTCCTGGGGTCTATGCCAACGTCACTGTCAGACACAGGGGCAGGGACAGGGTAGAAAGGGAGAGGTGTTTGGTGGGTCAGAACTGCAAAACGGCGTTGAGAATCTATCCACAGTCTGTTCAACCAGCCAGAAGAGGGCGGCCTTCAATGTGGTCATCCTTTAGCTGCCAGACTGTATTAACCACCTGGGACTGTGGACATCATCTCACGTGTCTTGAGCCCTCATCCCCACCCCTCCAAGCCCTTCATGCCCCATCCTCCCTTCTCTGCTCCCCATCCCAAGTCAAATTCCAAGGCCAGAGCCATGATGGCCTTCCTGGGGGTCAGCAAGAAAAGAGGGGGAATGGAGAGGCGACTGCAGTGAGAGGAGTGAAGGTCGTGCATGTGGCTCTGTTGGCATGGTGATGAGGCCCATTCTCAGGCCAGAGGTTCATCACCATGACCTGGAAGACCACTGGGCCCCCTGGTAGAAACTGGAAGAACAAAGGGGAGGGGGCACCAGAATGGGAAGAAGGCAAATGGACAGCCTAGTGCAGGAGAGTGGACCTGGAGCTGCCCGGGGGCAGGGTCAGCCCCAATCTATCGGTCGTTGAGCTGTGGAGAGCCGGTACCATCTTCCTCCTCCTCCTTGTCATCCTTCATGCCTTTCAGTCTCTGACGGGCAAAGTCCTCAAACACAATGTCATCATCGCTGGTGGGAAAGACAAGGAAAATGGGGCGTGTTTGCAGGGCAGGGAGAATAGGACTGTCCAGAGGGGTCAGAGGGCCGGCCCAGCCGGATGGACTCAGGCTGGCTTCCAGGGCTGACCTTGGGCAGAAAGCCCTGCCAGGCTGGCACATCTGGATACCCACCAGTGACAGGAGGATTGGTCACATCTGGCCTCCAGCCAATTGTGGAAATACCAGAGGGAGGTAGGAGTTTGCCTTTCATGCCTAAGGGCTGGAAAGTGACCTAGTTCTTGAGGAGTTGGGTGGGGTGGGCAGTGTGGCTGGGCTAGGGCCAGAGGAAGAACTTATTCCCACTGTGAGAGGCCAGTTTCACAGCATATTCTGAATTCCCCAAGAACAGGCCCAAGAAACCCCACCCACCCACGCAAAGAATACCCTCAGTAAGCATGTTTGTTTGTGCACAGGAAGGAGTGGGCTTGGCTTACTGGAAGATAAAACCAACCTTAAAGGCCCTTTCTCGAGGAAAATGTCAGCTCACATTCTACCCAGAGGGATCTTGGAGAGGAAGGGGTCTGGGGGAGGGGTGACAAATCTAAATGGGGGTGTGGCAGAGAAAAGGTGGGTGGGGAAAGCAGGTGCCTGAGTGGGGCTTCAGGACTAAGGACTGCTTCCAAGAACAGTGAGTTCCCTTCTACCATGAAATATGTCTACCTAGCCCCACCAGAGCCCTCTGTCCCCCAGAATTCAGCCAGCTGCATAGGGTGTCCTCATGGCGTGACTTGAAACCCCACATCCCAAATATCTGCTGAGGGACAAGGGAAGGGTATATTTGGAGCTGGAGCGAGAAAGCTGCTTGGCCCTGGAGGTGGTTCGTGATGTTGGCCCAGGTCCTCCCACTCTGGCCACTGTCCAGTGATGCGATGGCCTCTGACCGCAGGGAAATCTGCATTGGTCCTCAGGAGTCAGAAGCAGTAAGATCCCCAGAGCCTTCCCCACCCCACAGCCAGATTCCACTGGTTGGCTGCAGGCAGAGCAGGAGGGCCCCAGCCCAGGGCCATGAACCAGCTCTGTTTGAGCTGAGCAGGCGCTGTGGATGGACGAACGGACTGACCGACGAACGTGCAAGGACGAGGGAGGAAGACAGACCCCACCAAGGCAGGAGGAAGAGGAACAGGCACGGAGGGTCCTTCAAGTCACATGCAGGCAAGCGGGTTGCTGAAGAGGCGAGCAGAGGCGGCTCTCAGCAGACGGGGTTAGACCAGCTGCTCCTCAGGGGTTAATAAGCATATATGCAAATGACACCATTGCCCCACCCACCGCCCAAGGCCCGCCCTCCCCAGACATCTGCAAGCAGGGTTCCGCTTACTTTGTGTCGAGTTCTATGAGATTGGTATCTACTGGTGCCTCATTCTCTGGAACTAAACACAGGGTGGGCAGGCGCCCATTGGTTAGGGGTGAGTGGGCATGGGGACATGAGTCCCCGCCCCAAACAACCAAGCAAAGATGGGGAGGGCAAAGGAAGAAGGGAGTCTGGTCTCTGGTCTCAGAAATACCTCAAATCATCCTAAAGGCAGGAAGAAGGGACCAGGGAGGACCCGGTGGCCCACTGTAGCCTCAGGAGAACAGGGGTATTTTTACAATCAATGGCATTGCATAGTTTAATTGTGGGAACATTTTTCTTTGTGGTACATACTAAATATCTCTTTCAACTGAAACAGTCTTAGGCTTAATTAAGTGTGGAGATGGTGTGTCCAGGGGCCATCTTACCCTTGTAGCCTCTTCCCCTACACTTGGATGCAAGACAAGGGTTCCAAGCATGACCAGCGGGCCCCCCACCTTCCACTCCCAGTCTCCCCCACTCACCCCCATGGAGAACGGAGCCAGACCGCTCTGTCTCCTGGGGAGTCAGATGCAAATAGGAATGGGGGCCTCACAAAAGATCCTGGGAAGCTGGGGAAGAGGGGTGACCCTAGGCTTAAGGTTGACCCAGAGGAAGGTGGGGTGAAGGGAAAACATGGCAGCTGATAGAGAAGGGGGTCAGCTATCTGGAAACCCCCACCCCAGTGACCCAAAGATCCTGCTCACCTTCTCGATGTGGGGGCTCCTCTTTGGGCTTGGGGTGCATTAGGGTGAAGGGCAGCTCCACGGCCACGTCACTGAAACAGAGACCCAGACGCAGTGAGCCTCAAGCCCAATCTCAGGCTGTGACACTCAATGCCCTGTCAGTCTGAGGACTGGGAAGGGTTTTATGGTCAGAGGAGGTAGCTCTCTGGGTTGAGAGGTAGGAAATCTGGCCTCAGGCCCCGGTCCTGCCATTCTGTGAGCTTCAGTCTCTCTAGGAGTTAAACTAGGAGAACTCTTCTCCCGGCTCCAAAAAGAAATGGAAACCTCTCCTTTTCCCAAGAAGGATCTCTGGATTCCCATGAGCTGGGAGGAGGCGTAGGGATGGGGAAAGGATGGCCCAGGGCAGTGTGTGCACCTGAGTCACTGATGGCTCCAGAGGTGTCCAGAGACCCTGCCAACCTCAGATCGTCACAGCCAGCCCAGCCTTCCCTGACACTGTCCTTCCCAGCTTCCTGGTTGGAACCGCCCCCACCCTCACTCTGTCCCATCTCCCAACATCTCCAAGAAGCTCCTGTAAAAATGCTCAGGTGGCCCTGGCATCCTGCCATCTGGATGATGCGCTGCTGAGATGAGTTTAGTCAAATTCAAGTTGGGCGGGACCCAGGCCTCAGGGCTGTGGACGTTGTACACAGAGCCTTGGTGTGGGGCTGGAGGGTGGGGGAGGTGAAGAATCTGGGAGGGACTGCCATCAGCTAGTGCTCCTGACAGGGTCTCCTCTTCCCTTGGCCCTGACAGAAAAATAACAAGACACTTACATGTGCTGACTCCGTGCCAAGGACTATTCTAGAGGAACTCTAATCTTCACAACCATGCTATTATTATACTCATTGTACAGACTGGAAAACTGAGGTCCAGGAGAAAAATATATCTTGCCCAAGGCCACACAGCTGTGCATGGGAAGGGACAGACAGGATTCTGACTCCATAATTCATACTATTAACCACTGCCTGATAAAAGCTCAGAATTGAGAAAGCGATTCCTGCCCACCCCCTGCTCTCCACCCTTAAAAAAGCAGCCCTGAAAGTTCCTCCTCTTACCTTGGGGTGGTGCCACCCCAGGAGGCCCTGCCAACTATGAGTGCCAACACCCTCATCTTACTGACATTGCTGCCCAGGGCCCAGTTGGGAGGGAGGAAGGGACAAGGGAACAGAGTGGGCAGGGGCATATGCTGCCACCAGCAAGGTCCCTTCTGCCCGCTTCACCACTCCCTGGGGCACACTTGACATCCTTGTCTCATTGAGCTCATCTGGAAAATGGGGACAACAATGCCTACCTTCTAGAAACACTAGAACTTCCAGGAGATGGTGTAGGTAGCAGGCTTGGTGAATCTGTGACCCTTGTGCCTGTCAGAATCATTACTTCCCCTCAGTGGGAACATAGGGGTCTCATAAGGCTGTTGAAACAACTTTTTTTTCTTTTTTGTATTTTGCATTTTGCTTCTGAAAGGGATTGCTTTTCCAGGTTCGCCTGGAAGAGGGAGCTCTCAGAATGGAAGCTGGTAGAAGATTAAGTTTCCCAACCTTCATTAAAGCCATACGGGATATGGATGGAGGAATCTGGACCCTAAGTTTCCGGCCCTGAGTTATCAAGGGCAGGGGCTGTATGTGATTCCTCTCTGAGACCTCGGCCTGAGTCTGGGTTCAGGTAATCTTTACTGAATTATACTTAATCGAATTGAATTAATTCCAACCTCCATGGACTAAGATTTCTCGGGATGAGCAATATTACCATCTTGTGACAAGAGGAGGCAAAACCATTGCATTTGGGGCTTGTGCATTTTTGGCATGTACATGGATCCAGCCGGCAACACGGGAGTCTTGTCTACAAAAGCAGATCGCCACAGCACCTCTCCTTAGCAACACTCAGCCAGCATTTAATTCTTATTAGTGTACAAGCTTGAAAGCCACGAGGCCTGCATTTCTCTAAAACATTCTATAATTCAGACTGATTGTGGATCACTCCCCAGGTCAGTGAAGCTGGTTTTGCTGTTTGCAAAGGTCCTTGTCACTTGAGTGGGATGCAAGGCCAGGGCGAGGTTTTTAAAGGGGAAACTGTGTCTCCCTGGTCCCTTGGGAGAGGGTTCTCGATCTGGCGCGTGCCTGAGCCTGGCAATCAAAAGGACTGCCATGGGACGGCCGGTTAGCTCAGTTAGTTAGAGTGCAGTGCTCATAACACCAAGGTTGCCGGTTCAACCCTTATATGGGCCACTGCGTTGTGCTCTCCACAACTAGATTGAAACAGCTACTTGACTTGGAGCTGATGGGTCCTGGAAAAACACACTGTTCCCCAATAAAATTAAAAAAAAAAAAAAGAGTGACTGCCAAGGTTCCTTCCAACCCAGTGCCCTGCTGTTCTGGAAGGTGGGTCAATCAGGTCAAAGGGAGGGACTTTACCTGGATGCAAGATCTCCCAACAGGCTGAGTGGGTCAGAGGAGGCAGGAGAAGTGGTCAGGAGAGAGTTCAGAGAGGAAGAAAACAGAAAGCATGTTCATTCACCACCTCTGCTGCTCGGCAGAATAGAGAAGACCCTGGGACACACTCCCACCCACCCCCTGCACAGCTGTGACTTCTCATTCAAAGACACACAGACATGGCATTAGCCCGGCCCGGGAGACTGAGATACAGGCCTGGCTCAGCCAAACCCCCTACACGGCTGGGCTGAGCCCCAGGATCCTCATCTGCAAAGGAGACATACACACTAACCCCTGTGCTGCCTGCCCTGGGGAAGCCCATCTAATGACAGAAGGAAACAATTTAGGATTCACTGAGGATTTCTCGAGGAAAAAGCTGTAGGCAGACTGTGGGTCCTGCAAGAATCACAGGACACAGGACTTGGGATTTGCAATTCTGAGATATCCCATAATATGTGGTCAGTATTACATGCTGCCACCTGCACAAGGCATTATTCTCATAATAAAGAGGACTCAATGTCTAATGCTGTGAGCTTTCAAATATTTTCACAGAAGCTTATAAATTAGAAAAAAAAATCCCTGTGACAAATTAGAAAACCTAATTTCAGATTTATAACAACATGCAGGCCCAATATATGGGGGAAAGTAGCTCTTTGCTAACCTCCCTCCACCAGACCGTGCTCCAGGGCAGGGAATACATCTCGTCCACTGCCATGGCCCCAGCACCCAGCCCACGACCTGAGACTAGGGGAGAAGATTGCAGGAAATGTGTGGGGAGCTGTTCAGGCCTCTGTTTCTGCATCTCTAAAATGGTAGCGTCAGAACATCCCAATCCAGCTGTGGGGTTCTCAGCCCCTTTAACCATTTCCTCAGCAGATCAGCATGGACATGAATGGGGGCTGGTGCTGTACCCCAAGGTGCGATAAGGGGCACAGAACCCCCTGGAAACCCCACAGCACAGACTCTGAGGAAACCTCCCCCACCCATGTGCCCCAAGTGGTGGCTAGGAAAGAGGAGGGAGAGGAGGAGGCGGGAAAGATGGGCGGGGCAAGGGCGGGCCTGAAGGTCTCTGACGTGGGGAGAGGGGCGGGGCACAAAGGAGGAGAGGGGCAGGAAGGAAGAAGAGAAGGAACAGGAAGTCCTCAAGCTTGGTTCACTCTCAAGGTGATGCAGCTAAACGTCCAGCAACCAGGCAGAACTGGGCAGCGGGCTGTGGGCGGTCCGTGGCACATCCCTCTGCCCTTCAGGGTCCTGGGCCGCGCTAGAGGACTCACCCGCCCCGAGATACCACCAGCTTCACTTTCACTTTGTAGGAAACGATGATGCCCAAGATCTCTCTGTTGGCTCCTTCCCTTAACCTGCAAGACAACATAGGGAAGCCGGTTCATGGGAGCTCGCTGGGTGGATGAGACATAGTGGGGTTGGGATATGGTGGGTAGGGGGGTGCAGAGGCCACCCATCCCTCTCCTGGGCCACTCAGCCACGAGCAAGGAGAGAGAAGAATGTGGGAAAGGTAAGCTGTGCCCTGAGGGGGCGCGAACTCGGAGCCTTGGGTTCCATATCTGGCTGTGCAGCCCTGGTAAGCCCCGCTCCTCCCTGGGCTTGAGTCCCAGCGGTGCAGAGAGGGCAGGCTCTTCCCACTCTCCAATGAACAGACTCTGCTTTCCTCATTGCTCAGCCACCAGTGGGGCACAAAGGGCCAGACAGGGGTTGGGGAGTGGCATGCAGTTGGTAGGGGAGGGTCTAGGGTATCAGGGGAGACCCTGCAGGAGGTGGTGCCTCAACCAGGTATTGAAGACAGATAGGATTTGAGCCAGGGTGGAAGAAGAGGGAAAACGCTCAGAGGTGAGTAACTAGCCTATGCAGGCGGTGGTGAAAGACCATTAAGGCTGGAGCACAGGGTCCATGTTGGGAGTCCTGGGCAGGGGTGCTGCAGAGGCTGGCCCAAGCCCCACCAAAGGGCCAGACCTCAGTGGGGAGGGAAAGACAGGTTCCTCACACCCCCAGGTCTCAGAGAGTCAGTGATGACCATGGGGAAGGAGTGACAATATGTCCCTGGGATCCCTACCTTTGAGGGACACCCCCATATCTGCCCTGATCTCTCCAGCCCCCCTAACCCCTTTCTGATTCATTCTCTCGTGGGACCCTTCCAGGGGCCAATCCCTCCCTCTGGCCTTACTATACCTCAAGGACATGCCTCATCTGACTGAAGACACTATGTTAGGAGCTGCTGCCTCTTGCAGGAAGCCTCCCCAGGTTGCACCCCAACCCCCAACCCCAGGCAAGCCAGCGGAGCTCAGCAATGACTAAGGGAGCTGGGTCTAGGAGTCCACCTTATTCTCAGGTCACCCCTGGATAGTGATGGGAGTAAAGGCACAGCTTCCCTGGCAATTCAAGCTCCTGAGGATGGGCTCTGGGCAACATTTGGGAAGAGGGTCACCGTGCCTTGTGCTGGCACTGGTGGGAGCAAGGTGGGTGTGGATCCACTAGGGACTAGGGAGAGCGGGTCCTCACAGAGTGCTAGAGGCCAGGTTCGTGTCTTCATGCTTGAGCTTCCCATCCAGGGCAAGGCCCCGCTTCTCTCGATTGTTGGCCAGGAAGGGGGTCAGCGTGTAGACCTTGCAGAACGTTGAGCTGGGAGCCACTGTGTCACTGGGAAGAAGGGAGACAAGTGTGGAAATGTCCCCCACCCGAGCCAACCCCAACCTAGCCAGGACATCTATCTCCAAGACCACACAGTAACATTCGAAAACTGTTCTTAAGCTGCAAAAATACTGATTGCTATTACATGGAAATAAACACACACATACAGAAAAAAAATAAATGAAATGTAACTGCCCCTAAAAATTATTTGTAGGGCAAGGAGAAACAAATCAGGTGTGTCTTCTAGTAAAGATGTTTCCCTCAGTGTATCTTCACTTGCCTTAGCTGCCCGCAAGGTTGGGACAAAGTTCCATGCTCAATCATAGTAGCTCTCCTCAAACTTAGATTTAAAAAATAATAATAATAATTCTCTACCCTCCCACACAACCCCTTTTATACAATGAGCTGGATTATTCCTTTATCAGACAAGAAAATCTGTGCACCTAGCACCTTACCCTCTTTGCCTTGGCTGTCAGGAAACTCAGAGCAAAGTATCTCCCTTCAATTTAGGTTTCTGGTAGGGTGTAATTATGACCCCAGTCTCCTTCGATTCATTAGCTCTTATTTTGCCACTCTAAGTTTTGCAGGCCTTTTCCTTGACTATGGCATGCATTTTCTTACAGCTGAATCAAGTGGATGTATTCTAAAAGGCTGTTCAGGATCATCTACTAGGAGTGGTAAGGCAGTCTGAGGCCCAGCCCTCTGCCAGGTGGAGAAGAGCCATCAGGGCCTGTAAGTGGCCCCAGGGTCTCTCTTTTCCCCGAGCCAGGCCATGCGTCCTCGGCTGGGCTTGTTCTCACTTACTCAGCCTCTTCCATGGCCACGGGGCACTTGTACTGAGCTGTGTTGAAGAGGCAAATGTCCGCATACTGGCGCACTGGGGAGGAAGAGGGAGATGAGGTGGTGTGAGGAAGGGGTGCAGCTCGCAGGCATTCCTGGCTCCCCTGAGGTGGGGACGCTCAGCCCCAGGCAATGGCCGGGGTCCACTGGGAGCTTCCGCAGGAGGCCGCCCCATCTTCCGCTTAAAGGGCAGCCCAAACACATCCATTCCCTTCCATAACCAAAAATATTTCCCTCGAGGACAGCTGTGCCCAGAACCCAGGGAATCTAAGAGGAGGTGGCTTAAATAGTAAACTCATGACCTGGCCAGTAGGCAGCCTGAGTTACCAGCCTCAAAAACCTTGAGGCTTAAGCAGGCCCTGGGCTTCCCTGTGGGCCAGTTATTTACAAGGCTGTTAACAAGCACAGAGCCTTCCGCTACCCCCTCCCCTCGGGAGGACTCCCTCTTGCCCGACCCCTGTCCTGGCCCTCTGCCTGGGTACCCGAGATCTTGATCTTCTTCACTGTCTTGTTGGTGTTGTTGGTGACATGAACGTTGACGCTGATGGGTTCTCCGTGGTAATAGATCTGGGAGGCGTAAGAAGGGAGAAGGGTTGGATGGGAGGATACCAAAGCCCTAAAGAGGCAGAGGGAGAAGAGACCTCACACGCCTCTCATGGGGTTCCCAGACCTTGGCCGTTGGCCACTCTGACATTGACCCCATGTTCATCAGCCACTTCCCACTCATGCTAAGCCACCCGGTATGATAGACTTCAGTTCCTTTGTGGGACCTTGAAAGATGCATGAATTAGAAGGTGATATTCCTGGGCACCAGTCCTGGCTTAGTCACCAGAAACAGTGATAACGATAATAATAACAATGATAATGAGGATGAGAGTGGTGTGGCCTTGGACAGGTTACCTAAGCCTCAGTTTTCCCCTCCGTACAATGGAGGAGTTGAACTAGGTGATATATCAAGTCCCTGCCGGCACAGGCTGCCTGGAATTTTAGACAGGATATTCTAGAAGACGCAGGAGAAAGGTAGGGAAGGGCTGACTGGCTCACAGAGGGAACCAGCCCTGAATCCTCACTGAAGGGCCTCAAATACATCTTGCCCCAAGAACTTGCCTTCAGCTGTCCCCCAAGAAAGAGAAGGGGCACACAAAACTCAAGAGGGGATGAGGGGATGGGGAGATGGCCAGGACCCAAGACCCTTCAGGAGGCACACTGACTTCTGAAGTCAGTCGCATCCTTCAGGCTCATGACCCCTCTGCCACCCTTTTAGGTACCAAGAGGCTTCTCTGAATCCCCCAAGGGAAGCTTCACGTCCCCTGAGACCTGAGCTTCTAGGGCTGAAGGCAGAAGCTCCTACCCAAGGAGTCCCAAGGCCATGACGGAGCTGACATCTGAGGTCCCAGCCCTGGTTGAGCAGCCCCACCCCCAGCCCACCCCCGCCAAGTCCAAGCCTCCTACCTCCTTATCCAAGGAGGCCTCCAGATGCAAGGGCTTGTCCGACATGAGGAACTGCCTGGTGGTCTCGGCAGTGGGCTGGGGGCCAGGCCGCTCTGGGGCATATTGAACCTTCCTGATAACTAGGCGCACAGAATTCCTGGTGGAGATGGGCAGAGCGAAAGATGACAAGAGTTACCCGCTTCCATCCCCTTTCCTTGCAATCCTCACATCCCTCTCCTGCTCAAGAGACTGCCACGGCTCCCCATGGCCTTTGGATCCAGTCCAAACTGCAGAGGTTGGCACAGGGGCTTTGCACCATCTGCCTCTTCTCCATTCTCTCCCTCTGTCCCCAGCAACCCCCACTAACTCACTATCATCCTTCATGGACCATCTAGTCCTATCTCTGAGGCTTCACTTGCATTGGGCCTCCGCCTATAACTCCCTCTTTCTACCACCTTCTGTCCTTCTTTGCTTCCTTCTTCAAGGTCCAGCTAAATGCCTCCTCTTCCAGGAAGCCTTCCTGGATCCTCCCACTTGGATTTTCTCCTGGTCAGAACTCCCACAACATCAGAGCCAAACCACCCCCTGGCAGCACTCCATGTGTCTGTGTCTTGGTAGGCGGCAGGATGGTAAGAAAGGAACTGTCTTCACTTCCCGTATCCCTCATGTTACCTGATGGTGTAAGCCCCTTGAGGACAGAAATTTGCATCTAAATTGTTCACTGCTGTATTCTCAGCACTTGTGACAGTGCCTGTCATCTAAAAAACGCCTGCTAAATATCTATTAAGTAAAAATATGCAGAGTAGACAAAGGCCCCATAGGGAAATGGGGGCTCGGAGAGGTGACGGGTTCAGTCAGGGGGATGCAAGTCTATAAAGAGGGTAAAGACTCAGCGAGAGGATGGAGGCCCAGAGAGGAGATGGAGCTCAATGAAGGCGACAGGGGCTCCAGAAGGAAACAAGGACACGAGGATTGTGAGAGGATGGGGACTCAGTGAGGCAGTCTCCACGCATGCCCGTTTTCAGATAAGCTACCTCTATTCCCTGGATCCAGAGAGCTAGGGTTAATTTAAAGTCCTAGCTCTCCCCTTACTAACTGTATGACACAGTAAATCAACATCTGTGTCTCAGGTCTTCATCTGAAAAACATTAACAGTAGCAGGACCAACCTCTTAGGGTAGCTATAAGGGTTATATTAGTTCATACATGTCCATCACTTTGAATAGTGTACAGCACTTAATAAGTCCTTGATAAATGATATTTGCTGTATCATTATTAGTAGTAATTCTGGTATGGACTTAAAATGTCCCATTGGTGGTGAGGTGAGGGCATTGGCTCTCAATGTTGCTCCTCTTCCTTGCTCTGGTCAGGCTCCACCCCCCACAACCTACAACCCCCTCCTTTCCCCTGGTCTCATGCCTTAAGAAGAAAAGGGGGACAGAGAAGCAAGGGTGAAGGGTCCCATCTCTCCCCACACGAGCTGCTCAGGCTGGAGATGGAAATGCCTGCAATACACCCTATAGCCACCAGGTGGCAAACTCAGCCCACTCCTTGAGAGGTTGTAGTGCCCTCATCCAGCCTCCTGTAGGAACTGTCCCAGGTAGGGTGCATCTGAGTTGAGGGCAGAGGCAGACACGAGAGTGGGGATGGACAGTCCACCCCAGAGGTCAGGGCCAGTGTTTCGGGCTGCCAGCCTGGGCTCTCTGTCTGCCCAGGGCTGTGCCTCTTAGGAGAACACCTCCCCACTCAGAGACATGGGCTGACCTCCCCCTCACGGTCCCCTGGGTGGGATCACTTTCTCCACTTCCCTCCCTTGCTTAGAAGCTTCCATTGACACTCCACCACTCCCTGCTGCTGTCTGCCTACCAGGAGAACTGGGAAATGGGGGTCTAGGATGGCCTGGAAAGAACTTGCTCACTGTTTAAAACCATCTGAATTTTGGGTTTTTCCCAAAACAAAGTAAAAAGACATGCAGTCAGGAGGAGACAAGACTAGAAGCAGGGAGATAGTAGAAGCAGGTAGAGTGGAGTAAAGGAAAAAATGCTGAGTCTTGAGCCAGGACACTTGAGCCACCTCCCCCAGGAAGCCCTCCATGACCTGACAGCCTTTCAGAGTGCCCTTCTCACAGCACCCGAGGCTGGAATGTGTGGCCCCTCCTTGAACACTTCCAGGTATTGTTACTTATCTCTTCTTCTGACTCTGCCCAGCCTGTCGCCCTCCCTCTGTCAGCAAGCAGCCCACACCCAGCCGGAAGCTGTACCCTTCTCACCGCTTGTGGATCTTCTCCTCCAGGTTCTCCGCACAGAAGGCTTTGACTTCATAGTCCACACCACAGGCCTGTGGGGAAGGGGTCACTGCCTACAGGACCTTGGAATGGGCAGGGTCCTGGGAGCATGGCCAGCCGCCCTCTCATTTTACAAACAAGGATGCTGATGGAAACCCCAAGCTCCCACAGCCCAACAGCTCCTCAGTCTCACTCAGGAGCCTGGTGCTCAGCCCCAGGACAGTGCCGCCACCCTCTGCAGCTGCCTCCCGTCTAACTTTCCCACAGAGCTGCTCCCCCGGTTCCCCAACCCTGGGCATCGCAAACCACCCTAACTGGACTCCATTCTCTGGACTCCTGCCTCATCTGGGTGGCCATCCTCACCAAGCAGCTGTCCAGACATAATGACAGGTGCCTCAGCAGCCCTGTTTGGGAGCACCTCCTGTGTGCAGACCCTGCACTGGTTGAGTTGTGTCAGTGTCTCACTGCACCTTCCCAGCCACACAAGGAGGCACATCCTATTATCTCCATTTCGCAGAGGAGGAAACGGGGGCTCAGAGATCGGGAGTCTGTGACACTAGTGGTGTCACTTCTCTCTGAGCCTCAGTTTCCCCATCTGTGAAATTACTGCCCCTCCATACAACGTGTGAGGCCAGGTGGTAGTCCAGAAAACATTTTGGTCTTGCTGCAGCCAACACCAAGCTCAGTCAGTGACTCAGAAGAGACTCTGCCATATAACTGAATGTGGAGTGAGGACGACACCGTATCTGCCACCTGCCTGAAAAGAGACTATTTATGGGGGTGGGGGGGGGTGGATCAGGCTGGCCTAGACACAAGGAGGCTTCTACAGGGAGGGACCTGAGGACACAAGTGTCCTGCACCCAGAGAGATGCTCATTTTGGGGTGACCTACCTTCCCTGTGTCTTCAGGCCCCGGCTGCAATGTCACAGAGCACGGAAGGTTCGGAGGGATCTGTTAAGAGGACACACAGAATGAGCCTCCTGTCATATTCTCCACAAACCTTCCCATGCATCCCATCCCCATGATCCCCACACACATTCATCACACCAGGGGCCCCTAAGGACAGGCCATGTCTCTGCCATCAGACCATGCCAAGCCATGCCCACCCAGAGGCCCCTCCAGTAAAGCCAAGGACTTCAACGTTTTTCTTTATTTAAAGGGTTTAGCCTAGCCCAGCTCTCACAGAACAACAGTTGAAAAAGATCTTTCCATGATGTCTATTGTTGTGGGCAGAATAATGCTCCCCCCCCCAAAAAAAATGTCCTCATCTTAATCCCCCAAACCTGTGACTCTGGTACCTTACACAGCAAAAGGGACTTGGTAGGTGTGATAAGGCTTTTGAAATGGGAAGGATATCCTGGACGGTCCAGGAGGGCCGGATATAGTCACCAGGGTCCTTAACAGTGAAAGCAGGAAGCAGAAAAGTCAAGTGTCAGAGTGATGGGATGTGAGAAAGACTCACAGGCCATTGCTGGCTTTGAAGACGGTGGGGGTGAGTCTGGGGGACAGACTACAAGCCAAGGAATGTGAGCCGTCTCTAGAAGCTGGAACAAGCAAGGAAACAGGTTCTTCCCTAGAGCCTCCAGAAAGAACGCAGCCCTGCTGACACTTTGATTTTAGCCTGGTGAGACCTGTGGTTTTTTTTTTTTTTACTTTTGACCACCAGAACTGTAAGGTAATAAACTTGTGTTTTAATTGGTGGGTTTAATTGCCACAAGGTTTGTGGTGGTTTGTCACAGCAGCCACAGGAAACCCATACATGCACAAGGGAGGATGACCTGTACCTCTCCCCTTCTCTGACCCTCCCAGAGAGCAAGGGGATTTCACTAAATCACAGAATCAGAGTCCAAGAAACAGGACAGTTGAAAACCTAGAATCTTGGAGTCTCAGAACGGAAAGGGGGCAGAGCAGGGAAATCCACTACTTGCCATCCCGTGTTTGTGAGCTGGGCTGAAACCGGGCAAGTGGACAGCCGGTCTGAGGGAGGAGACAGCCTTACAGTGACCCCCGGGGTGGGAAAGGGCTCCTTCTTTCTCCGCAGCCCCCTAGACCGTCCTTTCTCCCACCAAAGACTTGGACTCAGGAGGGTTCAAGGAGTAGCCCAGAGGTAAGAGTGGCACCCCTGGCACAGGCCAGAGAAGAGACATTTACCAGGCAGTGTAAGTGACAGTGCCCCAGGTCCCACCATACCCTGGGACACTGGGTAACATTTAGCTGCTGCCCCAGCTGCCCCCGTGTGCCTGCCGGAGGGTTTCCTACAGGTGGTGCCGGCAGTCCTCACCTCAAAGGTGAAAGGGTAGGCGTGCTCGCCCAGCTTCTTGATGAGGCGCTCCTGCAGCCGCGTCAGGGGCTTCTTGTCCTCGGGGGCCGGTGGGAAGGACTGCACATTGGCCACAAACAGGTCCTTGCGAAAGGTCAGGCCCAGGACATCCAGGTCCTCCCGGCCATAGCGGAAGGCGCAGGTCAGTGTCACATAGACTGTGGGAGCAGCAGGCACTGAGGAGCTTGGGAGGGCAGCCAACAAGCCCCCCACAGCACCAGCGGTAGCCCTGGGATTGGCCCAACTGGAGGGACAGGTCTGTCCCAATGTTCCTATGGGGAGGGCTGCACTGCCCTTGGGACAGGGGTATTGGGTACCTGGAAGAGCCACCTATGGCCTGGCCACTGGGAGGAGGTGGGGGCTGACTGCTGGATCAGTTCTGTCCTCCACCCCCCACTCCAGCCCGTGGGATGTATGGACAGGCACAGTTGGAAAGAGCAGAGGGAGGGGGAAACAAGTGTTGGGTGGTGTCTGGAAGGCATGGGGTCTTATCCCAGCCCAACCTCTGCTTCCGAGCTTCTGGCCGACCTTGGACAAGCCCTGCACCTCCCTGGCAATCAATTTTGTCTCCTATAAAATGAGACTCTAACTTCTGCCCTGTTCATAACCCAGCCTTGGGATCGCCGTGATATATTGTAAAGTGCTCAGGGCATTGAAACGGTACTTCCAAGTGGGCACGAGGCAGGGCTGCCCCAGGCCGGAGGCGGCCAGGGCACCTGCTCTGATGTGCAGTTGGGGCTGTGGAGGGAAGAACCAGTGGGGATGGGCGGGGAAGAACCAATCAGATTGGCCGCTGTCCTGCCTGGGAGGTCGGAGGGGGGATGAGGAGGCCCCTGGGCAGGCTGGGGGTGGGGACCTTACCTCTCCTCTCCTTGAGATACTCAGGATCCACTAGGACCACACCATCTGGAAGAAGGACAGAGAGTTGAGCAGACCCCCACAACTTGACCTCTCAAACGCCTGAGCCCCAAACACCAGGCCAAACCCAAACCCAGGCATCTGTCTGTGCAAAAGCACCGTGAGAAAAATGGGGAGGCCACCGCTCCAGAGCTGGCCTTACAGATCCAGCTGGTGACTTTGGGCAGGTTACTTAACTTCTCTGTTTCTCCATCTGTTAATAAGAATAATAATATAGGTCCAGAACCCCCATGATCAGGTATGCTTTGGAATTTAGAGGTTTTGAATTGTAGAAAGGCCATATGTGGTGCATCTCCCATATAGACTGTAACACACTCTGCAGGGTCTGGACAGCATCCCATGATCAAACCCATCGATACCTCTGCTGGGAAACGTGAATACTCTCCCCGAGAGGCTACATAAGGCATAAATAGTCTCCTATCCATTCAGGTCAGGTTTGCCGCTAAATAAATCCTGTATCACACTTACGAACAATTTTAGGCTTTCATAGCTTTTTGGGCTCAGCATTTACAGGTCAGGGGTTGTGACTGTAAGTATCTACCTCATAGAGCTCCTGTGAGGACTAAACGAGTTAATATGTGTAAAGCGTTAGATGGTGACTGCCACACGTGACACTGTGGAGAATGTCCTTTGGGAATGTAGAGTGCAGCCAGACACAAAGGACATTTTCTCTGCCCTGAATCCAAAAGGCCAGAAACACAGGCTCAGGGTCCTGCCCTTACCTGACATCCCCAGTCATTCCTGGCCAAACTCAACCCAGCCATATGTATTAAGCAAACAAAATTCTTTCTCTGCCCACACCCTAACCCATCCCAGCCCCACACTGCCCCCCACAGCTGACCTCTCAGGGAATCTCAGAGACCACATCTGGAAGTGAGTGCCCGGGGGGCTCTCGGGCCTATGCCAATGCCAGCCAGGTCTAAGGGACAGCTGGCTAGGGGAGTGCCCACCGTCTCCAGGGCCTGCTGTGCATCTTCCCTCCGTTTACTGTGGGCATTCCTTCTGTGCCTGGGCACCAGGGGCTCAGTGGAAAATCAGTGCAGAGAGCATCCCAGTGAGGGCACTCCCCTGACCAGGGGTGTCAGGAAAGGTTCCTTGAGGAAGGACAGCTGGAACCAGGTCTTAACAGGAAAGTAAGACTTGTCCATTAGAAGACCAAGGGGCAGCACAAGGCAGGCAGCGGGAAGAACATGGCTCTCGGGCGTGGGAGAGCAGGTGCTGGAAGCTGGTGGAGAAAGAACGGCCAGGCCTGACCTTAAGTGTCCTGTCAGTGACGCCAGAGGGCTTGGACTTGCCCCTGAGCTTGAAGTGGAACCATGGGGGATAGTTAAGCATCGGGAAGACACAATCAGCTCAGTGTTAGGATCTGTCACTGTGGGTCATTTGACCAACTCTGTTTTTTTTGTTTGTTTGTTTTTTTGGGGTTTTTTTTTTAGCTGCCATCCTGCTACCTGTTGGCAGCTCAGCGGCTGCTCAGCTCGGGCTGGACTCGAACCACTGTTGCTCAGAGCTCAAACTCTTGAGCGAGCTCTTAACCAACTGAGCCACTTGGCCGGCCCCTTGACCAACTCTGGACAATGACCCCAGAGCTCTCTGGGACCCCCAGGGCCTGGCACGAAGTAGGTGCTCTGTGAACACTCACTGAACAGCTCCAGGGTGCCTGGTATGCTGGTAGAGTTGCTTCCGTCCTGCTGCTGCCTTTCCCCAGCCTCTGTACCACCCCTGCTGCCGTCCTTAATAGGCCATTGGGTTGGAAACTGCGTCTTGAAGGGGCCTGGCCAGCTCTGCCTCCCCAGCCACCTTCCTCCCAGGCCTCCAGGGACTCACCCACAGGGTCCACGAGGTCAATATGGTCCACAAAGTCCCGCTTTCCCAGATAGACGGTGAGCTGGGGAGGAGAGGCACAGGGGACGTTAGCAGCTATGGGCCTGAAGAACATACCCCTAAAAAGCCCCTTGCCCTTGCCCTGGAGAAGACCTGGGGGACTGCCCCTGAAAGTCCTAGACCCAACCCCAACCCTCATCGAAATCCTACTGGCCTTGGACCCAAGCCCCAGCCCTACTACTAAGAATAACAAACCCTTGGACAATTTTGAAAGCACTTGTTCATTCCAAACCCCTATGAAGAAGTTGCGATTGTTCCCATTTTATAGATGAGGACACCGAGGCCTGCAGAGATCGTCATTCCTCCACTGAGGGTGGAACAGCTGCAGCAGCAAAGAGATCTGCTGGGCGCATCTCTGAGAGGCCAAGGAAAGAGATCAGGGACAGAAGGTGGTGCTCTGAACACTGATTTCTGTGCAGTCTGGCAGAAACCCACTCGTGTGAGGGCTGGTTTTCCGAGCAGTGAGAAATCTGGACCTGGAGCCCCACTCGGCAGCCAGCCTTCAGGGAAGACCCTGACCTAGAATCCGGAGGGTCATCTTAGATGTTTCCTGCTCTATAATCTTCCTAAATCCTGATGCATCTCCCTCCGCCAGTTTGCAATCCACCCCTTCCTCTGTGTCCCTGTAGCCACTCTTGCCTGGACTGCATACCAGCCCCTCCATGGTCTGCTGCCGGCAGCCTCGCAGCCCTCCTTAGCCAGACTGGCTGTCCTAAAATGCAAATCTAATGATGCCATTCCCGTCTGAAAACCCTTTAATGGTTCCTCGGTGCCCAGAGGTAAGATGACAAATGGGTTTCATTCCAAATGCCAACTCTGATCGATTGGTAGGAGCTGCCTGGGGGCCCTGGGCTGAGAAGGAATCTAGGATGGAATCCTGGCTCAGCAGGAAAGGTGAATGGTGATATCTGCTGTGGGAGCACACGAGGTGCCATTTGCTGGCCCAGGCCAGGAGGCCAAGCTCCTAAGCCTGCTACCAGACTCCCCGGGACCCAGCCGTGGAGCCACCACCCCCGCCTCAGCTCCAGCCTCCTTCTTGGCACTCAGACACAACCGCTATGATCCCTTCACACTCTCTCTGATTTATGTACATGCCCAGAATGGCCCTTTTCACGCTGCCCTGCCAGGAAACACACGCCTCCTCGGGGCAGCCGTTCCTGACCACCAGGCTGGGTCCTGCAGCCCCTGGGCAGCCCTTTCTCTCGCACTTCCCACTTTACATTGGAGTGATCAGTTCCCGTGTCTGCCTGCCCCATCTGGTTGTGAGTAGCACAGGCTGTGCCTTATCTGTCTCCGTACGCCCTACCCCAATCCCCATCCGCTCACTGGGACCTGACATGAATGATGTCAGTAATATCTATTTGTTGAACTGAAAGGAAATCAGGATGGAGCCTGGGGCCTGTGGAAAGAAAGCAGAGCGGGCACTGGGAGCTGCCCCGGATAACTAGATGGAGCCAGGGTTCAGTAAACAGGCTCCAGGGGCCTCTCACACCAGGGAAAGCAGTGTCCCTGAGGCCGTTGGCACTTACTCCAATTACCACACTAACACGAGTCTATGATAGGCTGCATTGCCTTACACCAGGCTACACCAGGGCAGGGCTCCCTAAAGTCCAGGGAAGTTTACTGCCCTCCCCACACAGAAAGTTTCTTGAGAGGGCCCCTCCCTCTGTGGTCAGAGGCTCCTATGGACCTCAGATGGAGGTGTGCAGGGCTCTTCATGGTCAGACGTGCCCAAGAGAGGCAACCAGAGTTTGGGGTCAGGGAGGAGCCGGGATGCAGCTGTCATAGACTCACCTTTCCATTCGGGCTCGCCTTCTTGAACACCCTACGGAGAGAAAGACAGGAAAGGCCAGGGTTAGCATATCCCACCCAGGAGAAGGCTCCTGCAGGCCATCCCTCAGCGGGACTGAGGACAAGGGGCCTGGAGTGATTTTCAGGCACTCTCCAAGCCTTGAGAGCCAGAACGGTGCTTGGCATTATCAGATCTCACCATCTCCACCGCTACCCCCACCCAAACCACTATTATTGCCATTACAGCTCTCCTGGGCTTGGGCCATGGCCTCTTCAGTCTATTCTTCAACGGGCAGGTGGAGAGAGTCTTTCAAGATGTTAAGTCAGACCATGCCGCTCACTTGCTCAAAGTCCTCCCAGTTCACGCAGAGGATAAGCCTTGTCTGTGTGTCTGCCCCGCCTCCTTTACCTCCCCGCATCACCTCGCGTGTTTCTCCCTCACTCTTCCAGCCATGTGGCCTCCTTGCTGTTCCCCCAACACACCAGGGTGGCTCCTGCCTCGGGGCCTTTGCTCTAGCAGTGCCCTCCCCTGAGGCTCTCTCCCCTCACAGTTCTGCTCGCCCAGCCTTCTCTGATGGGGCTTCACCCTGTGCCTGCCCCGTACTCCCGCTCCTTCTCGCGCTCCTTTTTCTTTTTCTACAGCACTCACCATTTTTCTAACCTATTACATGATTGCTGATTACACGTATGCCTGTCTACTCTGCTCATGTGTCAGCTCCACGAGGGCTGGCATCGTGGTCTCTCTTGTCCACTGATGTATATGCCACATGCCTAGATGGGCGCACCTAGTAGGTGTTCAATAAATGTGTCAATGAACGGCCAGGCAGCAAGCACTCAATACATATTAGTTGAGTGGATGAATGAATTAGTGCATATTCAAACTAACTGAGAAACTGAGGCTCAGGAAATGGAGGGGATGTGCCTGTGGCCACACAGCAGAGCACTGGAGGCGGAGTCAGGCAGAAGTGTGGCCCCCAACTCCCACCAAGGGCTCACCCTTCCAGAGCACACTGCCATCTCCAGCAGCTTCCCCTGTCCTCCCCTCCGAGTTGGGTCTGGGAGCCTGAGACCCCCTCACCTGTCTCCCATCATCAAGTCCCAGAAATGCTCAGAGTCATGTTGGGAGGGAGAAGAAAAGTGAAAGATAGGGACAGAGCCCCAGGGGTTAAGAGGTGTTAGGGGAGGCAGGCGGAGGGGGGAGAGGGCAAGAGAGGGACGTGCTCCTGGAAGCGTGAAAATAAAAGATGGAATGAGAGACGAAACAAACAAACGATAGGGAGAGAGAGAAACAGTCACAAGCAGAGAGAGACGGAGCAGGCCCCCATGTGGCCAAGCAGGATCATGCAGCCCAAATCCTTCCCCGGGAGCAAGAGGTCCAGCAAGGCGGGAGGATGAGGCTCACATTATCACCGCGACAGTCGTTCCTCTAAGAAGAGCTGGTGGTGGCTCTGTGCTGCCTCCATAGCATGCCTCCCGCACTCTTCCCCGACACACACACCCCTTACTTCTGGGGCCCAAGGGACCACTGATGCGTCTGAGCTTGGCTTGCAAAGAAGAGCCTGGTACATCCCTCCCCCACCTCCCCTAGGAGTTCTGAGCTTTTCTCCTCCTCATAAATATTTATCAGTGTTTGGAATGTGAAGATGCCATAGTCAGCTGGGGTATAATAATTGCTAAAGTGAGAAAAAATACAGATCACATGGTTTGATCAGCAGCTCCCATGTTGGGCTGGACCTGCAGAGGAGACCAGAGCTCCCTGAGAGGGACAAGGGGTATCCTGGCCACAGGAGGGGGCCAAGAGCCAGGCTGGGAGGAGTGACAATCAGGAAGGGAGAAAGGGAGAGAGGAAGGGAGGTAAGAAAGAACTGGCGTGTATGTCGCGAGAACATACACTGTGAAATAGGCATTGTAACCCCCATTTTATAGATAACGAACTAGTGGTTCAGAGAAATGCAGTAGTTTGCCCAGGAACACACAGCAAGCAAGGGGCTAAGTTGGGATTCAGACTCAATCCGCCGGTCTTCCTCCAGCGGGTGGCTACTTTATAGCCAAACCGGCTGCTCTCCTAAAGCAGGTGTTTCCAACATCAGGCACAGAAAAGAGGGAAAATGAGGGCATGGGAGGGGACGAGAAAGAAATGAAAGAGCCATTCATTAAGGGATGAGAAGGAGAGGAAGGGGTGATTGATCAGAGCAGGAAGCATGGCCAGTGGTGGGGACGTCCTGTCGCTAACTCAATCAGTCCCCGGGGGGCCACCTCCTCAGGAAACTGACACACCGATGGCTTCCTCAACAACAACAGCAGCTGCCCAGGACCTGAGAGTATGTTATGCCCTAGTCCTGTCTCTAAGTATTTTTCCCAGAACATTGTTGATCCTACCACAATCCCATTTGAGAGATGAGGAAATGGAGGCCCAGACAAGCAAACTGTGGCTGCCTGTCTCCATGCTGTCCTTCTACTCTATCACACAGCCAATCCCTCCCTGAAGCAACTCCACCAGCTTCCTGACCCCAATGCTGTCAGAAAAAATGGTCCCTGTGGGGGTATTTCCAGGTCATTGGGACCCCCACGTGTGCAGCTCCACACAGATGGCTTCTGCCTGTCCACTCTGAAGAGCTGGCATAAACACGCAAGGCTGTGGTGAGACCCGAACTTCCAGACCGTGGGATGGCTGGGTCTGCTTCACCCCCAAGTCCCATCTATGCCCCACAAGCCTGATTCTCAGAGTCAAAACCTGTTCCCGTAAGAGAAACACTGTTGGCGTTCTAGCTGATTAAGGCTCACTGGAGACAAGGAACGGAAACCCGCCGAAGGTAGCTCAAGAAAAGGAGGAGAGGGTATGATAAGGAGGAAAAAAATCTCACGGGAAGAACGCGCAGGCAGGGTGCACTGGGGCTGGAGTCCGAAACGGGGAAGCCATCAGCCTCTCAGATGGTTGCTGTCTCTCTCCACCTCTCCCTCTGGGGCTGCATATTCTCCCGGCTGCACTGCTCTCTGTGCGGCTGCTCCATTGTCTCTGTGGACCAACTCTCTCTGCTTACTCAGGGCTTTTCTGCTCCTCCATCATTTTGGCTTGCTTCTGGCTCTCACTCTGCCCCTGTTTCTACTCTGCCTCACTCAGCTTCCCACTGTTAACTGCTGAATGGCCCAATTCCAAATTCCCAAGAGAGGAATTTCATTGGTTAACTTTGGTCAGGTGTCCCACACCTGGGCCAGTCAGCTCTGCCTAGGGTGTGTCATGTGGTCCATGAGGCATGGACAGAGGAATCTATAAAGTAGTGTTTTTCAAACCAGGGGTCAATCCATAAGTTGACAATGAAATCAACTTAAAGAACTGCCACCAGCACTTTGCTGTTGTTGTTTTAATGGGAGAGAATAGAAGATGTAAGCATCAGATGCAGACAGCAAGGGTATAATAGATATTACTATCCATTCCCCTCTAAGGCTGGGCAAATTTCTACAGTGCTGTGAAGTTACACATGCCAATGTGGCTTGCTCTGGCCAATAAAATACGAGTAGAAGTGCCACATGTCACTTCTAGGCAGAAGCATTTACCGGCTGGTGCACGATTCCCCATACCCATTTGTATTAGTTATCTATAGAGCCTATAACAAATAACCATGAACTTAGTGGCTTAAAACAACATAAGCTTATCTTACAGTTCTGTAGTTCAGAAGTTCAAACTATACCTGGGTTTAAATCAAGATGTCAGCAGGGCTACATTCCTTTCCAGAAGCTCTAGGGGAAAATCTGTTTTCCTTGACCTTTCCAGCTTCTAGAGGCCACCCACATTCCTTGTCTCGTGGCCTCTTCCTCCATCTTCAGAGCCAGCAGGTTGAGTTCTTATCACATTGCATCACCCTGACCTCTTCTGCCTCCCTCTTCTACTTTTTAAAGACCCTTATAAACACATTTGGCCTCCTAGTTCCCTATTTGAAAGTGAACTGCTTAGTAACCTTCATTCGACCTGCAACTGTACTTCCCCTTTGCCATGTAACGTAACATATTCAAAGATTCCAAGGCTTAAGATCTAGACATCTTTGGGGGCCCATTCTCCTGCCTACCACACCCTCTTTCTTCTGCCGCTGAAACCAGCAATGATCTGGATTAGGGAAGCCTCCAACAACCTAGATTCCAGGGCACTCCTGCTACATGATAGACAACTAATGTGAGAGAGAAAGGCAGCTCTTGCCCTATTAAGATCTGAGGGTTGTTTGTTACAACAGCAGACCAGCTTCTCTTGGCTGAGACAAAAAGTATTCTTGAGTGAAACCTTCAGGTTAGGTGTACTGAGTTATAATGCTAAATGAATTCCATGCTGCAAATGTTTTAACACATCTAAAATAAACATGCTTTATCAGTGTTTGCAGTCTGTTGGATCCTGTTTCCTGATTCCATTCCATCAGGGTGGTGTTGCCAGGAGGGCTGGCAGGTCAGTTCTCCCATTATCAAGAATGTTGGCTTCTCCAGTGATCCCCATTTCCCAGCTGCAGCTTGGGGTACCTGTTGATCAACTTTGACACTAATATTCTGCTGCTCTTCCGTGAGCCACCTGTCCTCCCAGAGTCTATTTGTGCCTGTAGGAAGACGCCTGCACCAGGAGGGACCCAGAACAAAGTACCTTCCATGACAGATTACCCAACAACCAAGAGTTTATAATCCTGTGTGGTACAGCCAGACTGTGGAATGTTATGTAGCGGTGAAATTATGCTTGCATCTTTCATAACACAGGGAAATACCTATGATAGGATATTGAGCAGAATACATCAGGATTCAAAGCAATATATTGGCATGAGCTCAATTTATACTCAATAAATACCAAAAGAAAAAATAATAAGACATAATGTTGTTAAGATGGCAATACTCCTCAAATTGATCTATAGAGTCAACGCAATCTCTATCAAAATCCCTGCCGACTTTTCTGCAGAAATCGACAGGCTGATCTTAAAATTCATGTGGAAATGCAAAGGACCCAGAACAGCCAAAACAATCTTGAAAAAATGAAAATACAACAAAGTTGGAGGACTCACACTCCTGAACTCACAACTTAATACAAAGCTATCATACTAGTGACTGTGTAATACCGACATAAAGATAGACATATAGATCAATGGAACAGAATTGAGAGTCCAGAAATAAACCCATATGTTTATAGTCAATTGATTTTTGACAAGGAAGCCAAGACAAGTCAATGGGAAAAACAACAACAACCAGTCTTTTCAACAAAAGATGCTAGGACAACTGGATATCCCCTGGGGGCAGGGGGCGGGGGGAATGAAGTTAAACCCCCTGCTTTTACACTGTATACAAAAATTAACTTGAAATGGATCAAAGGCCTAAATGTAAGAGCTACAACTATAAAACTCTTTTAGAAAAAAACATGACCTTGGATTAGGCAATGGTTTCTTAGATATGACACCAAAAGCACAGGCTACTAAAGGGGAAAAAACGGATAAAATTGATTTCATCAAAACTAAAAACTTTTGAGTTCCAAAGGTCACCATCAAGAAAGTGAAAAGACAACCCACAGAACAGAGAAAACGTTTTCAAATCATGTATCTGATAAGGGTCTAGTATCCAAAATATATAAAGACCCTATTATGATTCAGTCATAAACAGGCAAATAACCCAATTAGAAATGGACAATGGATTTGAACAGACATTTTTCCAAAGAAGACATACTAGTGGCCAATAAGCACATGAAATGACGTTCAACATCATTAGTCATTGAGGAGATGCAAATCAAAGTCACAATGTGATGATACTTCATACCCACTAGGATGGCTATAATCAAAAAAGGACAAAAGCAAGTATTGTCAAGGATGTGGAGAAACTGGAACCCTCATATGCTGGTTCTAATGTAAGGCAGTGCACTCACTTTGAAAAACAGTTTGGAAGTTCCTCTAAAAGTTAAACATAGAGTTAACGATGACCTAGCAATTCCATTCCTAGGAATATACCAAAGAGAACTCAAAGCAGATGTCTGCACAAAAACGAGTACATAAATGTTCAGCGCAGCATTATTCATAATAATAATGAAGGGTTAAAAAAAACCCAAACGTTCATCAATTGATGGATGTATTTTTCTAAATGTGATCTATACCTACGATGGAATATTATTCAGCTACAAAGAGAGATAAAGTACGATTCACACTACAACATGGATGAACCTTAAAAACATTATGTTAAGTGAAAGAAGCCAGTCACAAAAGACCATATATTGTTTGTTCCATTTGTATGAAATGTCCAGAATAGGCAAGTACATGGAGACAGAAAGTAAATTAGTGGTTGCCAGGGGCTGTGGAAGGGAGAAATAAGAAGTGATTACTAATGCGTAGGAGTTTCTGTTTGGAGTGATTAAAATGTTCTGAAACTAGATAGTGATGATAGTTATACAACCTTGTGAATATACTAAAAACCATGAAATTTTACACTAAAACTGTGACTATTATGGTACGTAAATTATATCTCCATTTTAAAGAATAAAACTAAAAACAAACCCAAAAAAATGAAAGGAAATGTGCCTAAATATTAACAGGGGTTGAACGAGACTCCCTCTACCCACCCATCCACTTCTTTATATCTCTTGTTTTCCATTTTGTACAATAAGCATCAACTACTCTACAAAAATGCAAGGGCTTTCCTACCAAGATATGTCTTAAGTCTTGGTGAAAGGAGAGTCTGGAAAAAATATTGTAAGTAAAGTAGAGAAATATGGATCCTAGACTGAATCCTTTGATGTCAGAGTCTCTGGTTCTGCAATTTTATAATCCCGAGTCCATATCCCTGTGATCCCTCAGATCCCTCCCCAGGCCTGCTGGGTCAGCTGTTAGAGCTCCTGTGCTGTGTCTTCTGCTCAGCTATCTCTTTCTCCAGGAAGCTTTCCTTGATTTCCCCCTAGTCTGCATTAGAGGTTCCCCAACTCCCACACCCAATGTGTCCCCCTTCACAGCATGTCCCACACTTTATAACCGTCTGTTTACTCACCCTCTGCTTCACTTATATAACTTTAATAAGAATAGAAATATTTTCTGTGTTATTGATACTGGATCCCTGGGGCACAGCATGGTGCCTGGAGCACAGTAGGTGTGCAATAAATAAATACAGGTTGAATGCTTTTGGATGAATGCTCTAAGAGAGAATTAGTCAACAGTGAGGATGGGTGAAGTTTAAAAAGATGGTGGCTGGTGAGGATCCTTTTCTCTAGGTGAGTAGACTCCAGGGATCTCTTCAGCCTAGACTTCACTTTGGCTGTCAGGATCAATGGGCATTGGGCTTAGAAAACGCTTCATAGGGACAGGCTCCCAGCTACCATCAGGCTGAGTCAGGAATACAACTGATATATCCCAAACGGGCCCCTACTCAGCTTTAACTAATGGCTCTCCCACTTATCATTTACTGGCCCACATTCACACAGCCCCTACCACTGCCAGGCTCCGGGGGCACTAAAATGAAGAATTCATGGTCCCCGCTGACAAAAGACCATGGTATAGCCACAGTAGAGAAACCCACCGGTATTACATCCTCCATGCATAAAGTTCTTCCTGTGAGCAAGGTACACTTCACACACGGTAAAATATTATATCATTCCATCTAAATATTCCCTTTTTTTTTCCAGGGAAGAAACCTAAGACTCAGCGATCCTAAATACCCCAAATCATAAAACCAGTACCAGAAAAGAGCAACCCCATGAATGAGCTACCTAGGGGAAATCATTTAGACAAAATTCCTCTTACTTAACATCCTGGGGAGACTATCCACGAATGCAGACTCACTACCAGTGACTTGAGAGCACTCCTTTGTGAGCATCAGAAAATTCATGTTGGAGAAAAATGTTATGAACACCGTGAATGTGGGAAGACCTTCAAATATTACTCAATCTTCAGTCAACATCAGAAAACTCATCAAGAAGAGAAACCAGGTGCCAGGTCCTGCTCTACATGTGTCATAAATCTTAACTCATTCGTTCCTCCAACATCCTTATCAGGAGGTACTGCTATCATCCCCATTTTGCAGACAAGGAAACTGAGGCAAAGAGAGTCTCAGTAATTTGCCCAAGGTCACACAGTCAGTGAGGGGCAGAGCTCGACATTAGAGCCCAGGCAG